TTGGCCTCCACCCCTAATCCCCCTCATCCACTGGCTGCAGAACCTCTTCCCCCTTCCTGTTTCTGCTGCCGCCTATATACTTCTTTGGGCTGTGCAATTTTGATTTCACGCTTCCCAGAACCAATTTGATGGTATCTGCTTTCTGACAATTTCTTTACGGGCTCTTCCTCTGTGTATGTGATAGAGCAAAATCCTCTCCTTTCATTTGTTTTTCTATCCCTGGGAAGTTCAATATTTCCAGTCCTCCAAAGCCTCCAAAATATTCTTTAATTTGTTCTTCAGAAGTATCTGGGCTCAGTCCTCCCACAAAAACCTTTCTGGGGGCTCTTTCCCTTTTAAAGCGTTGGCTCTTTTGGGGTCTATCAATTTGCCATCCAGTTTGTGTTCTTTCAGTTCCCAAACCTTATCAACACTAGCAGCATCTTTGAAAAGCGCAAATCCAAATCGTCCTGATTTTCCAGTGACTGGATCTGTGTTAGTTGTGCAGGCCGTCATCCCGCTGATTCTTGCTCGAGTTGATCTTGGATCCCTCCATGAATTCCATGTTGCTGTACTGTTCGTGTCCTCCATGGTGGGGCGGCTGTCGACTGGGGGGTGCTGGTGTGCAGTCTGGGTCACGGCAGCAGTGGTGGCCCCTTTGCCCATTTATGTTCTTTTGTTGTTGAGTTGTAGGAATTTGTATGTATTCTGTATAGTAATATCCTATCAGATACAGGATGTTTTCTCCTGTTTTTTTTTTGTGGGCTGCCTTTTTCACTCTGTTAACAGTATGCTGTGATATCCAAAAATTCTAAATTTTGACAAAGTCCAGTTTATATACTTTTATTTCACGTAGCATTGTGCCTTAAAAAAAGAAAGAAAAAATATCTTGTACAGGTTTGGTGGAAGTAAACGCATGTTTTATTTGTGAGGATGATGATCAGAATTCCTTTGTTTGCCTTTTTTCCTTGCAGTTTCTTAGTGTCACCCGTGCGTTTCTCTCTTTTCCTGTTTGTTTTGGTCTTTTTCATTAATACTGAAGCCTTTCCTCAACATGTGAGAATCCTTGGCTTTCCTTGGGGGTAGTTTTTTCCAAAGAGAGAGACTCCTTTCTGAGAGGCAGGGGTATTTACTAGACAGAACAACCCCCCCCCCCAAAAGATAGCCGGGTCCTAATCCCCAGACCTGTGACCATGTTCGTTTACAAGACAGAAGAATGGGCAGAGGTGGTGAAGAGTAACTATTCTCAGATGGAGAGATTATCTTGGTTTATCTCAGCAGACCCCATCTAGCCATGAGTCCTCATAATCAGAAGACAAGAGAGATGGCCCAGGAAAGGGACCCAGCAGCCATCACCAGCTTGGAAGAAGGGCCTAGGAAAGCAATGAATGGATTCTTCCCTGGAGCTTCCAGAAGGAATCAGCTTCACTGACACCTTACTTTTAGCTCACTGAGGTCTGGGTCAGCTCTCTGACCTGTAGAACCATAGGTAAAAAATTTGTGTGGATTTAAGCCACTGAATTTGTGGTCCTTTGCCCTGCCAGGTGCAGGCCCAAGTGCAGCTCCTGGAGGGCAGCCAGCAGGGGGCAGAAGCCACCAACAAGCAAACCCGGGTGGACCACGTGTTCCATGCAGAAGTCAGGGTGTGGGTTTGGGGTGGCCGCCTGGGAATAGCAGGACTCGTCCAAGGTACAGGTGGCAAGTGCTCCTGAGTCTTGGATACAGGGGTGTGTATTTTTGGTTGAAGTTGTCTGTGTGCTTATGATAGGTGCAATTTTCCACGTTAGCTGTTAATAAAAATGTGTGCGTGTATATATAAGGGGAGGAGGAGTGGGGGAGGGGGAGGGAGAGGGAGAGAAAGGGGGAGAGAGAATGGGATAACAGGAAATAATGAATCTCCGGCAAAGCTGAGCAAACCAGATCTCAGTCTCTCCAAGGTTACAGAGCCTTGCCCCATGGCTGGGTCCCAGCAGGCCCTTGGCAGGGGCAGCACACACCATTCTAGGCAGAGATGCCCAGGCTCGTCTTAAGTCAGTATTTCCAGGAATAAGTTGCATGTTTGCTAGGAGCCAGAAGACCATGTGAGTGAACTGGGTACACCACTTGCTGTACCTTCCACGACCTCCTGACCTCTCTCTTTAACACCCCTGCTGGGCCAACCTGAGGTCCACTCAGCTGACAGGCAGAAATGCCCAGCTGTCAGTCCATCCATCCACCTGCTCATGTGAATATCCTGCTAGCCACCCATCCATGTGTCCATCCAAACATCCACTCTCACCCCGCTGTCACCCATTCCTCACTTGCTCATTCATTCATTCACTCATTTGTTCATTCATTCAGCCCTCTGGGGCCTCCTCTGTGCCTGGCTCTGTGCCAGGTGTTCCTTACCAGCCTGTTTTCTGGCAAGTGTAAGTGCTTTGCTGTTGCCTTAAAAAACTTGACAGATAAGTGAGTGTCACCTAATGTGTGAGGACACATATCACCTGTGATAGGGGGACATTTTAGGGGGCACAAGAGTGGGGTCCTATGGATGAATGTCTGTGGGGGTTGGGGATGTGGGTGCCCTGGAGCAAGGGTGCTGAGTCCAGCCTTAGGGTGGGGACAGCCCTGTTCCAGGTGTGTACCACGGCCAAGCTCTGTCCCAGGGAATCTCACAGTTGGACCTAGATCTGAGTATAGGAACCTTGGCCTGAGGCTTGTCTAGCAATGCCAGTGACTGCAGGGCCCTGAGCTCAGTGCCCCACAGCTAGTGGGCGTCTGTTTGGGAGGGTGGGGCTGGGTTGTGTGTGTGTGGGACATGTGCACCAGAGAGCACAGCAGGTGCTACCAGGCTCCAGCTGATGGGAACATGGGATTCAGCCAAATAGCTGAGCACTGGATGTTGGGATTTCGCAAGAGAATGTGCAAACTCAGACTTTTGAATGTGGACATATCTGTTTTTTAATAAACACTGAAGGTAGCAGAGGTGGTCTCGGGCGGCATGCTAACCGTGCCACCATAGTCAGAGAACAGCAGAGTCCCACTGCTGGCTGCCAGGGTTGACTGCAGGTCTCAGTGGTACAGCTGGTGTGAGTGCTCGCAGCTCAGGGCCACCTGTGTGTGGTAGTCTGTGCTCAGAGGCCCCCTTTCCCTCCCACACTACACCAGGGGCCAGTAGCTGAAACCTTCCAGTGCCAGCCACCCAGAGGTCATGGCCGAGGGCTGGTGTTGTAGCCATCTCACTGAATGGCCACAATGGCACCCTGAGCCTCCTTGAGCCTCCTATGCTCATCTGTGAAATAGCAGCACTCGCTGTCTGGGGTCAGGTCTCTGTGACAATAGAGTTTTCTCCATCTACCACTAGCACCTTTAGACAAGGGCCGTCATCTGAGCTCTACTATCACGCGCCTGGATTTCTGCAACCTCTTCTTCTCTGACATCCCATTCTGCTTCAGTCCCCCCTTCCCCGCGCACACACATCTGCTGGGACTTCCAGTGTAAGTCAGATCCCATCACTGGCACCGTCCAGGATGTCCATGATGCTTCCCACCTGTTCAGTCTCCAGGCAGCTCAGCGACCTCTGTCCTGCTGCCTCTTCAGCCTGCAAGCCCCACCCAACACATACTGTTCTGTGCTTCGGGCTCCTCATTACTTAGGTCTCAAGGGCTCCCCAGACCAATGTGGCCACTCTCAGCTGGTCATACTCCTTGTTCCCTCTGAAGTCATCTGATTTTGGAGTGCATTTTCTGGTTCAGCCTTTGACTTCCTTTGCAAGAACGTCGTCCCTGCGGAAAGAGGCTGCATCTGTTTTGTTCACCGCTGTCTTCCTGGTGCCTGACAAGTAGTAGTTCAGCAAATGCTTCTTGAATGTTCCGTGAATAAGTATGTCTGAAGTCTGGCTTCCAGACTCGGCTTAGGTGCTAAAGAGCACTGTGATCTTGCCTGTTCCTCGCCTGGCAGTGTGAATGAAGATCCCCACTTTGCGCTCTCCTGGGCTCCGGGAGGGCCCATGGAGACAGGAGGGCAGAAGGGAGGGAGTTCTGAGGTGCAGATGGGGTCCGTCCCCGGCTCCGCCCCCCGCCGGCCCGCCTTACCGGGCGCCGCTGCCGAGCGCCAGCACAAGGGGGCGCCCGAGGTCTGCCGCTGGTCCGGCGAGGCTCCCGGGTCGTGGAGGGGTAAGGAAGTGACAGTGCGTCCTACGGAGACCAGCCCCAGCTAACCAGCTAAAACGCTTACTGCTTTGCTGACGTTTTCTGGGTTAAAAATACCCGTTCTTTCACACTGTGGATTGTGATTATAGGTGTTTTTTTTTTTTTAAATGACCCCACTTGCTCAAATGAAAACACTGGCAACACAATGGTGGTCCTCAAAAGGTTCTGGAGAGATTTTAGGTCCTTGAAATCCCAAATACTAGTCTATTGGGTTGGGGACCAGGGGTCAGGACTGGGGGGTTGTGGAAGATGCTGGGTAGAAAGTGTGAGCACGACCCCCCATCCCAACACATACCTGAGAGTACATAGCACACAGGTGGGTATACACACACACAAGCAAAGGCAAACACACGTGCTCACTGTGTGAACACGGACCATGCAGACATGCAAACACACGCACACACAAGCACACACCACGTGCACACATGCACACACAGGCATATAGAAACACGCACACGTGTACATGCACACCAAGCAAATGCAAACGTGTGTACACAGGTGCGATGTACACAGACACACGTGCACATATCTATGCACATATGCCTGTGCTCAAGCATGTGCAGACAGCAAATGTAATACACACAATGTGAAGTACACACCAATAAACACATGTATGTGAATGCACACACACATGTATGTGTGTGCATCTTCTTGCACACACAGAAAGATGAAGTCCCAGAAACATCTAGAATAATTCACATGTCTAGCACCAAAGAAGTGGGTGCCTGTCAGTCAGTCTTGCATTTACAGTGTCAATCGTGGGACTTTGGGGTCAGCCTCTAAGTTCCTTAAGGCAAAGGTCACACAGGCAGCTTTCAATTGAGAAAAGCGTCATGTATTCAAATTTATTTAGATGAATGTTCAGCCACAGTCCCCTGTGGGTTTGTGCACATTCACTTTTTAAAAAATGTTTCCATAAAAGAGTTTTTGGTAATCACCTAATTTTAATACAATATTTATATACAAAACTACTTCCTGTACAAGAGAAAATAGAAGCATCAGATTGTACGATTTTAGCAAATAATGAAAACCTATGACTCTTATGGACTCGGATCACAACCGATGACGGGAATGTCAACATCACACCGAGGATATGTTCAAGACAAATATATTTGTTTTTTTTTTCTTCCCACCTTTGATGAAACATTTCTCTTTATGTTTCTCTTGGTGCTTGAGAAATTTCAGATAATTGGTTAGTATAATTGCTGCAAATTTAGGTTGCTCATATTAGTTATGAGACTTGTTTTTACAAGCTTTTGGAATGATAACTTTCCAACAGTGACATTCCTGTGAGTAAAAATATAGAGAAATATTATCAAAATAGAAGCCTTTATTCATAAAAATCTTTGGTAGTAACAGTATTTTAAATTCCTCTCAATAATATTTGGTTAACTAATAACTCCTTCCACCTTTGAGCTACAGAAAAAATAGTCCTCAAATCTACCAAATACTTGATTAAACAAAACCCCAATAAATATTCTAAAGCTTTGAATGACACCCCCCCCCAGCCTTAAGACATCTTAAAACCCTTAAGCCATCTTTAGAGATGTTTCCGAGGTAATCTCTCCCTGCCCATTTTCCCCGTCAATCTGCTTTTATCACACATCAAAGATGAACACCTCTGAGGTCAGCTCGGTGTGACAGGGGCAGGTGTGTGGCTGACAGTAGGGCCTGCAAGGGACATATGCCAAGGGTGCTGTTACATATGGGATCAGGGACATCTGCACCCATCCAGTACTCCAAGAATAAATCGGACACCCCCACATACCTCATGGGGACAGTGATGGGGTACTTCTTTGACCAAGGTGTCTTAGCTTCTGAAATTACCAAGGAAAAGATGATTCAAAGTCATCCAGCTTTTCTGACATAGAGGCAGATGACCCCTTTGGGAATCGATGTCAATGCTGTTATTCCTTCTCAGTTTCTCCATTCTTCCTGAAAAATCGCCCTAGCTTTTGCCCAATGCCGTGGCGTACCATTTTGCACTTATCTTAAGGCAACAGAAGGACTAAGAAAGAAGATTTCTAGGGGCCCCTGTTCACCTTCCACTGCGAAGGAGACTCAAGTCCAAGAACTGTTTCTGCAAAGCACCTGCCTTTACTATATGTAATTATTGCCCAATCACCAGCCATAATTTTGATTCACCTTGAATACTAAAGATAAAAAAAAAATTCCCTGCATAATGGTTTTGTGCAAAAACAGAGGGAAAAAAAAAAAAGAGAACGAAGGAAGAAAAGTATCGTCCTATCAGAAAGTGGTCCTCCATGTTTGCAGAAAACATAGGCGCCACCGGGCTCTGGTGGGGTCAAGAAGCCGCCGGCCCGGGGAGAGGGTGCCCGTTGGTCGGATGCCCGCTGGTCTGCACAGCCCCACCAGTGGCAGCTACAGGACGCTGCCGTGGTGTGCGTGGCTGGGGGCCGGGGTGCCGCCGAGGCTGTCAGGGCCGGCTCTGGGGCTGTGGTTGTTGCACGGCTCATCCTTTTTGTGCTCCTTGTCCATCCAGGTGTCCAGCAGCTGGAGCTTGCCCTGCTCTTCCCGCATAAACAGCTCCACCATGAGCACCTTCTCCTTGTGGATCTGCTGGCTGATGTCCTTGGGGATGTCAGGGATGACCCAGTCCACAAAGTCACTCATGAACATGACCAGGTTCTGGAAGAAGAGTCAGCACGTGGGGTGGGAAGGAGGACGCTGGCATGGATGCTCCTGACGTCCCCATCTGTCCCCCGCCCTGGGGAGCCCGACCCAGACACTTCCCTGTGCGCTCAGCTATGCCCTGTGACCTCCCTGAGTTGCGATTTCCCAGAAGGTATAACCAAGTCCCTGAACCATCCTGAGGCCCTTGGCTGACTTTCTTGAACCAATGGGAAATTGGTCATTAGAAAAATTATCTTATTAGTTCTGAATTCCTTGGTCAAGAGGCTTCAGAAGTGATCTAATGAGTGACATGTCACCAAATACAACAAGAAGGATCGAGACTTCAAGGAAAAGAATTAAACTGGAAATGGCACCAATATGGACCGAACGTCATCTATTCCTGCCACTCAGCAGACCCCTTCTGCCGCTGGCACAGCCTCCCAGGGACACCCTGAACACTTTCCACCTCAGTGGAGACATTTCTGGTGGATGGGATGTGAGAGAAGTCGGTGTTTATGGAAAAACAAAAATCTTATTGTGTGCCAAACTTCTGTCCAGTGAGCACGGGTGAGTACCCCCGTCTGGGTTAGTGGCCTCCCTCCCATTGTGGATGACACTGGTGTCCACTCAGACTGATCTCCTCTCCCAGCCCCAAGCTGTGGTGGTTGTTGGCTGCTCATGTTCACAGCTGTGGAATTTCTTCCCTGTTCTGTCCCCCTCTTTCTGTCTTGGGAAGCCCCTGGCTAAGGACCGACAGATCTAGGTAGACAAAAGGGGCTATGCGGTCTCCAGGGGGCCCAAGTCTGGGGTGCCATTCATGGTTCAGGATGAGGCTGAAGCTCTCCCTGACCGAGGCACTTCTAGGCTCTGCTTCTGGGGAACCCAGCCTCACACACTTTTGGTACCCAAGGCTGGGTGAGGCAGCTGAGCTCAGTGAAGTAGAAGGATTTGCCCGATGCCACATGATATAAGGGGCAGAGCTGGGACGTGAATCTAGTCCTGGGATTCCAGATTCTGAGCTCTTGGCCTGCTGTCTTCCTTGCTTGGATTTAACTTGGTGCCAGAGGGATGCCCCTGGGTGGAACCTCTGCAGTGCCCACATGGCTCCGGGTGCTTCCCCTCGCTGGGACCTTAGCTGCCAGTGCACCAGCTGGCTCCCTGATCTGGGGCCCTGCCCCCTGGAGTCCCTCTGGCTTCTAGAGTGGCCCAGTGCCTTCCCCAGGGACTGGGCCAGGTGGGGCGGGTCTCTGGAGGCATCTGAGAACCCACTGCCCTCCTTCTGGGACCCAACTGCTGCACAGAAAGCGTAAGACACTGAGACCAGGACCGAGGCAGGTCTCTCCTTCCTCCCTGTCCCTGTCAATCCAGACACGTCTATTGAATTAAACCCACCCTCCCCGAAGAATCCAAATCCCTCTGCCTGTGTGCACAGGGCCCGGCCTCTGCCTTCCTTTGTTCATGAGGTTCTCCTGGGTCCCGTCCTTGCACAGGGCCTCTGGGGGGTGGAGGGGGAGTCTGCCTTCCTGACCGTGCGCACAGGGGCTCCCCTCATGCTCCATTTCTCAAACCTTCTGGAAACTAGAGGGACCTACTGCACCTGGAAGACGATGACAAACGCCAGCCGGGCTGCCAGGACGGCCCAGAAGTCCTTGGAGATGTCGTACTTGTGTTCGGACCACGGGGGTTCTCGGTAATCTTTGTACCTGCAGAAGATGCACTGGGAGTCAAGGGCAGGTCTCTGGCAAAACCCAAGGTTCTGGCCAGGGCCAGGCAGCTCCAGAGAAGCAGCGGAGAACCCCAGCCTGGCTCTGCTGCTGCCTCCAGGGACACCCCTGGCTCGGCCTGCTCACATAGCCTAGTCGAGGGAGGTGGTTGGGGCTGCACCAGCCTGTGCCGGCCTGAGGGGCTTCACATAAAATACAGACACCAGGAAGTGCCCCATAGGCCCAACTATAAGTTCAGAATTGAGTGCTTGGGACCTTCTGGTCTACAAGGGCCCAACTTTTATTACTATTATTTATTTAGTTGTTTTTAGGCAGAGTTTCACTCTGGGTAGAGTACTGATGACATAGCTCACAGCGACCTCAAACTACTCTTGGGCTCAAGAGATGCTCTTGCCTTGGCCTCCCCAGTAGCTGGGATTATAGGCGCCAGAATGCCAGCTACTTTTTCTATTTTTAGTACAGATGGGGTCTCCCTTTGCTCAGGCTGGTCTGGAACTCTTGAGCTCAGATGATCTACCTAGCCTTCCAGAGTACTAGGATTACAGGCATGAGCCACTTTGCCTGGCCAAGGAAGTCCCAAACTTTTAAAAGCAGTGGAACCTTTTTCCCAAAAAGAAATCTCACCTGAAATTCTCATGGGTGCCAGAGAGAGCAGGCCCAGTTGAAGTGGGATGGGAGGGGCTCTCTGAGCTGGAACCTGTCTGATCTCAACCCAACCCCCAGTCTCCACAGAATCCCAGGATGGGTTCCACAGAACACAGTCTGAAACCACTGCAGCAGTCTATCCTTTTTGGGCGAAAATTATTAAAAGGAAAAAAACCTACACATCTCATCAAAAAAGGAAAAAAACACCCTAAATATTTGATCGAAGTCATCTAAACCATCTATGAAAGATTTACCAAAGTGCATGGCTGAATACACAGTTGGGGTAGGCTCGAGCCCGCCTGGCAGCCGCCTGCCCACTGACCCTTCCAGCTGCCTGCCTTACCTTGGTTTCACCTTACCTGTAAATAACGTGAACGACCTTTAGTTCTTGAGTTGTCAGTTTTAGACGTGGCCTATTGATGTGCTCAGAGAGACAAGCTCACTCACACCTGTCTACATGGTGATCCCTGAACCCACCAGGCCCGCAGGAGTGACAGGAGTCTGCCTGTGCTTTAGTTGTCCCTGGCTTCTTCCTCTTTTTACAGAGATGTAGAGATGCCAGGTCTGTGGGGGCAGGGCGAGATCTCCAGCTAGGCCCTCTACCCCCACTGCTCCCTGAATCTGGGCAAGGCCACATATCCACTGGGACTTGACTTTAATGGAGATGACACCCCACCCTACATTGGAAAAACTTCCCAAAGCCGGCCAGAAAAGTCCCATGCCAGGGGCAGGGTTTCCAGGTGCTAAGCTGCAGGTGGACGTCTGCTGGGCACCAGAAGCTGAGCCTGTGACCTGGCTCTGTAGGCACAGCTCAGCCTGGGCTGGACCCACAACCCTGGTACTCAGCCCACATGAACACCACCTTGCTGGGTCCCCCCTGGGCAATCACTTGGCCTCTCTGGGTCATAGTCTGGGCAATCCCTCACTTCTTCATGTTGAAGGCATTTAGTGAGCAGCTACTACATGCCAGACCCCATTCCAGGAGTGAAGATTCAAGAGGCAACACGACATATAGGGCCCCTCACTTGTGGAGCTTTATTTCTGCAGGGAGCTGGATGGGAGTCTGAGTCAGGATGGGAACACAGGCTCCGGTGTCAGCTGCTGTGCCAGGCAAAGGTTGCATAACCTGCTTTCTCATGGGAACAAGCAGCCCCTATTCTATTGTCAGAAGTTGCATGCCACCTGCTCTTCCTTTTCCCTTATTCTATACTCAAGGCCAGTTGCACTAGGATGCTGAGAAATATATTTGGTCACCTGGAAAACTCGTATGCATCCCTCAAAGCCCACTGGCACTGTGTCCAGACACCCCTGCCCAGTGCCTATACTAATCTCTATCAGAAATGATCTTTCTTTTTTTTCTTGATGAGCTAGGGCACACAGGGAGGAACAGAATGCCTTCTCTAGAGGTGAATGTGAAGGTTAAGTGTGACAATGCTTGCTTGAGCACAGGAATAAAGGCAGCCAGCTGTGATCACAGCTCTTTGCTCTGCTAATGCCACCTCTGCCACACCTGCTGCCCTGGGCTAGGCTGGGCTAGGCTAGGAGCTGTTCCTCTGGGAGGTGGCTTAACATGGGCGCAGCTGGCAGAGGTGGGGAGCCCACACACACAAGGTCACAGCTAGTGGTTGGTGGTGGAGGCTAAAGCCTGGAGTAGTGAGTGAAGTGGTGAGACCCACAGTCTTCTGCCTCCGTGGGGATCAAAGTGACAAGAGGCTTAAGAACACGGTTTCTGCCCTGTGCTCTTGGTCTCCTCTCTGTGTGGGCAGGACCCCCTGACATGTGTGATGGTGGAGCTACTTCTTTAAGCCTAGCCTGGGGTCTCACAATCCGTGTCCTTCCTGGCAACCAAGGCTAACCTTCACCCCTGTACTCAGCAATATTCAAAGTTTTGAGGCAACTTTTAGTAAAATGAGCCATATATTTATCCACTTTTTTTTTTTTTAAAGACAAGGTCAAACTCTATTGCCTGGGCTGGAGTGCAGTAGCATCATCAGAGGTCACTGCAGCCTCAAACTCCAGGACTTAAATGATCCTCCTGCCTCAGCCTCTTGGGTAGCTGGGACTACAGGCATGTGCTATCATGCCCAGCTAATTTCACTTTTTCGTAGAGAGGAGGTCTCACTCCGTCATTAAGACTAGAGTACAGTGGTATCACTGTATCTCACCACAACCTCAAACTCCCAGGCTCAGGCGATCCTCCCGTGTTGGCCTCCCAAAGTGTAAGGATTATAGGGGAGCACCACACCTGGCCTGCCTTCTTTTTTTCTCAATTATTCTTCATCTAAAATTCATTCTTCATCAAACATGTAAATCTTCAGTGTGTTCTTCATGGGGAATGTTTAGAAACCCCCAAAGGAAGTGTTGTGCTATGGACAGGGAACAGCCAGACTGGAAGCTCAGGAGGTCAGGGTTCTGCAGCCTGGCACCTGGCAGGGGATGTGCAGCTCCTCCCCGAGGTGACCAGGCGCAGGGCTGGAGGGAGTCATCCCACCTTGGGCGAGCACAGTTTTTAAAGCTGCAAACCGTGTTGTGCTGTGCGCCTCGTGTTGCCATTTGCCCTTGTGGTTGGGGAACCTGGCTTTAGGGTACCCTTCTCTGTCCCCATCTTCATACATGACATTGCACTCTTCCTCTGGCCATTGCAGACACCTGCCCAGCATCTGTCACCCCTTCTTTGAGTCATAGTCTCCCAATTTTCCTTAGGATCCCCCCACTCTGACCATGACCTCACACCCCAGCACATGACTCAGGAGGAGCCAGAGAGAGTCCTCCACCTCTTGGCAACAGTAACAGGCGTCTGACCCAAGACAGGCCGGGATATTCAGTCCTGGGATTTTTGTCAGCTATTGACAAAGAGGTTTCTTTCCACAGGGGCTGCAGGGCAGAGAGGATGTGAGGCAGGGCTTTCTGGGGGTCCTTTCTGTCTGCCAGAAAAAAGTATTGACATAGGGGAAAACAGAATTGAGAGGCAATGCCAAAGTGGAGCCCGATGGCAAACTAGCTCCTGGATCCAGCCATGCCTGAAGCTATGATGGACTTCTTAGTTATAGGAACTAGCAAATCTGGGGGAGATGCCTTCTGCCAGGCATCTTAAAAAAGAAATCTTTTTTTTTCTTTTTAAGACAGAGTCTTTTTTTTTTTTTTTT